AGTGTGGTGAGATCTTCTTCGTGAGGTTATTTATGCATTTGTTGCGTATGGGGTGGCCTGTTGATTGACTTTGTGTTAATTTGTTGTTTTGTGTGAACATGTTTGAAAAGATCTATGTTATCCTATATGATATCTCTATCACATGTTTATTTGTTCTTAATTGATTGCCGTGATTATCTGCTTCTACTTGGGTGTTCTTGATCTTAGCCCTGGTGAGTACATGGAGCATGTATGGTATGTGTTTCGGGTGCGAAACACGATGTAAGGTCTGCGATACCAATTTTATTAGTTCCCTTGATTGTGTAAGTATAAACTGTGTGTTTTGATTGCTTGCAGATTTTTTGGGAATCAAGGTAGAGATTTGTTGGGTTTTTTTATACCCAATAAATCCAGGCAATGATTTAAAAAAGTTGACGGATAATTTATCGACACCATAGACTTGGCTCGACTCGAATACTACCGATACTTTTGGAAGGCCCAAGTTGGAGATGGATTGGTGGCTTTGTTTAGTGTGTAGTTTGGACTATTATTAGTCCATTAACTTAGCCCATCCTTGTTTCTAAGTTGGCCCAGTTCTTTGGCCCAATTCGTGTGACCTAATTTGTATTGGTTTACATATACATTCTTCTTGTAGAATTACGAGTGGTGCAAAATTGAGATAAGAGAAAAGAGAGGGAGTCGTTTTCTTGTGACTTGGTGTCCATTGTTTTCTTCTTGTTTTTCCTTCATTCCTTAGTGGTCTTTTGCATCCACCCATTACTAATCCTTTGTGGGTCAGTAAGGAGAGAATCTTGTAGCACCCAATTAGAGGAAAGTATTTGGGAAGAGCTTGAAGCCGTGTGGTGTCGATGGTGTTTTTCTGAGCCCGATTTTGGTATGATTGGAGACCAATAATCTTACACCTTATACTGGTGGGCCAATTGAATATACACCTATCCGCAGTAAATTGAATCCGTCGGGGCTTGCTGCATAAATCCCTACAATATATAAAAGAGCAAAGTTTGTTACTATTCATAAGGCATCATCTTTGTGTCATGTTAATGTCATATATACTAAATTTACCTTTTTCATGTTTTCCCCTCAAGCACTACGTAGTTTTCTTCTCACGGGACAGGGTTTCTCCACATAAGTTCCCATACCTCTTAACTCCTGTCTTTACACAATCATTCAAGACTTGTCCTTCTTCTTCTCTCTTTACTATTTGTTGCTTAATTTCGCCTTTTTTTTTCTATTTGGATTTCCTTAGATCTTATTTTCCCCTCTTTTGTTTTCTCTCTCTACTTCTCAGATCCTCTTTTACTTTCTCTCCATCGTTATTCTTACTTCACATTTGAAATCAAACAATAGGTAACAAAATCACAGATTATTTTCACCGTTTGTTCTTCTCTATGATTCAGTCATCCTGTATTCCCTTTGGTGAACAATTTTTCTTTGGAGCTTTTTCATTTGATTGGAACACTATCTCCCAAATTTCAATCGATACTGTCGTGTTCGCTTATTCTTTTCTTAAAATCCAAAAACCCTACAGTCGCTGAAATCATATGTGCATTTTTAAATCTTCGATTAGATGTGTTATTTAAATCCACTAGTGATGAGGAAATGCTGTCATAGAATTAGGGGTTTTTGGGGCTATGTGTTTGTCATTTTGAACCTTTTGTTTGGATGTTCCAATGAAATATTGGTTCCATTTTAGTGTATATGGCAAGCTCAAAAACCAGTTATAGAAATTAGAATTTGGAAATTTAGTTAGTTTAATTATTATATTTGAATAAAGAAAATGAAAGACTGGAATGCAACTAAATCGAAAATAAGAATATTAATCAACTTGGATTGTACTTTTCTGGAATTCGTGGTAAAAGGATCAAGTCCATTTTAATATTTCTCTACTTCTCGATGGTTTGGAAGGGTTTGTAAGACGTGTGCATATCTTTGATCTTCAACTTTCACGTGTATTTTTCTCGTAAATAAATTATTGTATGATCAATCTTTTGACTTTTTGATAGCAATCATTTCATTAACTTTTATTATTATTATTATTATTATTATTATTATTATTATTATTATTATTATTATTATTATTATTATTCAGCTATATAAAAAATCAATTACCCTTCATTTAGTTTTTTATCGTAGCACACACAATCTTGGAGTTGCCTTTAGTACCATTTGAAATCTTATGCTAGGTTAAGAAGTTGACAAATGAGTATCTATTGAGCAGGTGAAGCATGAGGAATTATTTCACTTTGCAGAAGGAGCCAGCACAGGGTTGAAAGTTAATGTTGATATTCGGAGGTATTCATAAATATTTAATTTTATTCCACTTTTTCTACATCGTGTATCCTTGAGCTATGTGACAGATTTTGTATGATTTTAATTT